ATATATGTGTTGTTGTTGTTGCTAAGTGCTGTGGAATTGGTTTCGACTCATAGAGACCCTATGTAGGGTTTCTGAGGTTTTCAATAATTTTTGTAAGTACAAACCAACATATTTCATCCTGCGGATCAACTGGTAGGCTCCAGCCACCAACCTTGTGGTTTTCAGTCCAGTGTTTATCCTATGGAGCAACTGCATTCCATATACATACATACATACATACATACATACATACATACATACATACATACATACATATATATATATATACAGTTGTTGTTAAGTGCTATCAAGTTGGTTCCAACTCATAGCAACCCTGTATAGGGTTTCCTAGGAGTAGCTGGTGAGCTTGAACCACCGACCTTGCAGTTCAAGTCCAGTGCATTAACGCATAGTGCTACACCAGGATTCTTTCTCTGTCTCTTTCTATGTGTGTGTGTGTGTGTGTGTATGAACATATATGTTGTGGTTGTTAGGTGCCATCATCAAGTCAGTACCGACTCATAGTGACCTCATGCACAGCAGAACAAAACATTGCCCAATCCTGGGACAAACTCACTATTTTGCCATGCTTGAGTCCATCAATGCTGCCACTTGGCCAATCCATCTTGTTGGGGTCTTTCTCTTTTTCTCTGACCCTCGACCTTATAAAACATATCCTTCTCCAGTGACTGGTTCCTCCTGACAATATGTCTGAAGTATGAAAGACAAAGTTTGGCCGTCCTGGCCTCCAAGTAGCACTCTGGCTGCACTGCTTCCAAAATGGATCTATTGGTTTTTCTGGCAGCCCATGGCACTTAACAATAACAAAAATAATATAAGTAGAATATGTTACCTTTGGATTTTGCTTTGTTATATTTTGTTTTGTTTTGAGGAGTAATAATTAATTGGAGTCCTGATGTTGTGCTGTAGGATAAGCACTCAACCACAAGTTCAGTTTGTACTGCCAGACTAGTTGTTCCAGTCCACCAGCCTCTTCTTGGGAACACTACACCTGCTCACTATCAGTCAGAATCAACTCAATGGCACTTAAGAAAACAATGAAATCAACAGATTGTCTAACCAGTAAATTTAAGATTTTGTCTAAATCCTTAATGACAAAGATGTATAATAATAATATGAATCATAGTCATAACGCTATATGCCATAGGAAAAATTAGTCTTACACATCATAGAAAATTTCTCTTTATATACTGATGGCATGAGGGTAATTTGTGACAGTGAATGAAAGTTATAAAACTAAATTTTTAGTTATTGCAATATAAAATGATACTTGGTAAGTTAATAAATCTGGTTTTCCTATGGATCTAACTTTTGATGATAAAAATCTTGATTTGCTTGCTCTGTGACTTATTTATTTATTTTACTTTCTTTTGGCACCTTCATTTGTGATTTCATGATTTGTTATTACAACACTGAAAAGAAGAAATGAAACAAGAATGGAAAATATTCAAATTATATAAATTTATTAGGCATTAACCAACACTAGAAATGTGACTTTTCTAGATTATACCTACACTCATGCATTTACAAATTGTGTTTTTGCCAACAAAGTATCAATTACTTTCACTCTATTTGTGGCCATTGCAGACTAGGACCACTGACAAAGAATATTTTTCACTTACTTACTCAACAGCCATAACATCTTCATTTGACCATACTGACACAGAACTGCAGGTCTGGGTTATTTATATTTCTTCTTAATGCAACTTTTTTCCTTGGAAGCCATGTAAAGTGTTTCAGGTCCATAACTCTAAGCTTACATGGCTACCAGCTAATCATTAAAGCTACAGTTTACATTGTAAAGTACTTAACTGTCTGCAAAAATAAACTGTTGCTATAAGAAAAGCTGTATTTGAGGCTTTCAATATATGTTCCTGAGGAATAAAATTTCCTTTCTCTTTTCTCCCCCACAAAAGTAACTTGTAGGAATAGTGCCACCTAAAATAGTTTATGACATGGTTTAGGATTGATGGTGAATATTAAAGTGAATGACAAGACCGAGCAAGGGGACAATTATCTTAAAGAATTACAGCAACCCATTCTTGTAAAACATGAACAAGTAAATATACTGGTTTTTCTGTCTGGTTTCTCATTTTCTGAGAAGAGAAAATATGTAATTAGATATGCTGAAACTTGATATATGATTCATGAGAATATACAATAGGTAACCGTGGACTCTCAGCATTATTGGTTGTTGGTGGTGAGCAGAACACTTTCTACATATAAAGTGAATACCAGTTAATAAGAAGTAAGAAGACTTTATGACTGTCCATGTTGCATAATTTTATATTACTAAATTCTATCCATGGAGTCCTGGTGTGGCGCTGTGGATTAATGTGCTGGACTGCAAAGTCGGTTTGACCCGCAGGTCAGCGGGTCAAGTTCACAAGCTGCTCCTCCGAAGCCTTATACAGGACAGGGTCGCTACAGGTCAGAACAGATTCGACAGCACTTAACAACAACAATTCATGGATGGGGTGGAGAAGTAATGTACAGTGTATTTTCTAAACAAGTAGAAAGTAAGAATAAATTAAAATTTTAGGAAATAAAATAGAAAAGGAGAAATATGGATAGATTGTATCTGTATTCTGGCTGTGATACTGTACCGTGGTTTTACAAAATGCTACCTAACCTTGGAGAAAACTTAGTAAAGGGGACACAGGAACTCTGTAGTATTTATTATGGTGGTGGTAGTAGTGTGACGTGCAGTCACTTCGGACTCATAGCAACTCAGTATAGTGTTTCCAAGGCTGTAAATCTTTATGGGAACAAAAAGCCTCATCTTTCTCCCGCAGGACAGCTGGTAGTTTCAAACTGCTGGCTTTGAGGTTAGCAGCCCGATTTGTAACCACTACACTACCAGAGATCCTTATTATTTATTATGTTGTTGTTAAGTTCCATCAAGTCAGTTTCTACCCATAACAACCCCGTATAGGATTTCCGGGAAGCGGCTGGTAAGCTTAAACTGCCAACCTTGCAGTTCAAACGGCTTTGCAGTCTGGTGCATGAACCCACAGCACCACACCAGGACTCATTATCATAGTTCTATGTAAATCTACAATTACCTCAATAAAATGTTCGATTAAAAAAATAATAGGTTTTGAGGGGCCCTGCTGTGGCACTGTAGGATAAGCACTGGATGGTTCATTGTAGTATCAGTAGCTCATACCCGTGGAAACTCTGAACAGGGTCGCCATGAGTTGGAGCCAACTCGATGTCACTTAACAACAGTAGGTTTTGGACTTCTAGTGGATAGGGGAAGTAAGAATTTTCACATTATTAAGATTGCCATTTTGCCTTTCCAGAGCATTGAAATACTTCTGAACAATGAGAAACATAGAACGTAAACCTTAAAAGGAATAATTGATGAGGAGACATCTTATGATTCACAACTGTGACATTACAGCATATGGGTTCTTATTGTCTATCTGAAGTTACTGAATATAGTCAAGTTGGAAAAACACTTAAAAGTCAATCATGGTTGAATATGATACCTTTATTTTATAAAGGAAAACATTGTATTCTTAGTAAAAAAAAAAAAATCGTATTGAAAATAGAGTTTCAGATATAGGACAAACACTTTAATGTTTCATAATAGCAAGGAAAGGTGACTTCATTCTTGCTCTTTACCATTCTCCTCCGATTTAATAACACCTGGCACTGGACCACTAATCGAAAAGTCGGCATTTCAAACCTACCAGAAAATGAGACTTTCTGCTCCTATAAAGATTTACAATCCAGGGTTTTTCCACTGTGTCAGAATTGACTCTGTGGCAGTGCGTTTTGCTTTTTGTTTCTTGTTTTATGGTGCCTATTTTTATAATAGGAGCTCTGGTAGCGTAGTGGTTACGACTCGGGCTGTGAACCGCAAGGTCAGCAGTTCGAAACTACCAGCCGCTCCGCGGGAGAAAGATGAGGCTTTCTACTCCCGTAAAGATTTACACCCTCGGAAACCCTGTACAGGGTCGCTATGGGTCGGTTCCAACTCCACGGCACATAACAACAACAACATCTAGCTAATAAAATTTTGAATTCCAATTTGAAACTTTTCCCATGGAAAAATTATAAAATCTATTTTGTTAATGATGCTGCTTCCATTATAAATATATGTATTTTTTTCCTTAATGTTCCTCTGTGGTTTAACTGCACATAATAGCATATGTAAACAGTATTACTTAAGTTTTAGGTTGACAAATCTAAATCAATATTTTGTGTTCAATTGAATGCATCATTAATAAGAACTACTTCAGGGACTTATTATTATCTTTCAGGAAAAAAATACCCAAAAGACTCTAACAGTCAAGAAGCTCAAATAATTCTGTGATGTGTATTTTTAGTGACAAGAGAATATAATTCTAAAGATATGCTATTCCTACTGAGACTTTGCTTTGCATAAGTTCCATAAATATATCAATCATCTAATCAATATGTATATGACAGATTTGAGCAGTCTGTCTGTCACCCTTCAAATTAAAAATACATGACCATAAATATTTAATATTATTTGGGTTTTTCTTTTGCTTATACAATTGAACTATAAAATATTGAGGGTTTTTTATTTATCATCTTGCCTGGTTTCATAAACAAAATTCTATTTACCAGAGCTTTCCATTGATTACCCATTGACTTCATCTGGTCAAAACATATATGGCTCAACTATGTGCTGATCCAATTCATTGTTTTTGAAAATAGAAGTTTGTCTGCTTGTGCTAAATATATTTACCTGTGTTACTTAAGCTTAGAAGAGTTTATCTTTGCCATCAATCCCCATTAATGTCTATACAAAAAAGAACTTAAAAAGTGGTTTCTCTAAAAACAGTTCTACAGGCTAATGGATTACATAGTTCAAGATACTGAAACATGGAGGACAAAGAATGAAGTTAAATATAATTGAGCTCTTATTTGATTCTGTAATTAGAATTTCAACTGAGTGATCCTTATTTCTCAAGTTCATTGGAGTTTCTGATCAATGTTTTTCAATTCTAATGCATTTTGTTTAGCTCTTTTGACAGCAAGTTTGTTTACCAGCAAAGAGGACTTGGACCAATTGAAGAAGATACTATTCTTGTCATAGATCCAAATAATGCTGCAGTCCTCCAATCAAGTGGCAAAAATCAGTGAGTTATATTACTTTCATGCTTCTAATACATATATTGAGTATAAAAGATATCACTGGTCTGTCTTGAAAAGACAGTTGTACAGCAGTGGGTAGAAAAACCTAGCTCAAGAAAGCAGGAAATTCAGTCATCCCACCTTTGCATTTTCTAAATAAACCAGTTACCATTGAGTTGATTCCCATGTATGTCAAAGTAGAAGTGTACTCCTTAAGGTTTTCAGTGGCTGATTTTTCAGAACTGGGCATATTTTCTTAACAGCTGATTATATTAACTGATCACACCATGAAGGAACTCAATTCTCCATTTTCTAAGCGGGTAGTTCGAAGCCATAATTGAATATTACAATCACCTGAGAAGCAACAAAAGAAAATTCAAATTTAGTTTTAAAGTTCCCCAGTTGATTACAGCATGTAATTAAGATTGAAAGAACCATTGATCCACACAGCTAATAAAATGATTTGCTGGTCAACTAGAGCTAAAGATTTTTTTTAAATCTTCATGAGAAGAGTTGCATAGCCAAACTCATCAACTAATCACGGTTTAGAGAAAAGTTGCTCCCCATCTCAGAATGAAGACTTTAAAAATGCCATTTTTAGCTTTCCTTAGCATATACATGTAATTTGGCTTTGAAAGCTGCTCATTATTTGGTCTTATCCTTAGAAAGCATTTGGCAGCCAAAAAATTGACTGATATTCATGATCACTGAAAGAAAGGGGTACCTGCTTAAAGAATTTTCTCAAACATTTTAACCTGGCACCTTCAGAGACTATAACCTATGCTAGCCACAAAGAAGGCCAGCTTCCTTGAAAGGTCGGGAGCCATCTGTGTTGAATCTAGTTGTATATGGAAATAGCAGTAATGAGGTTTTAATTTTTTTGATAGGTTTCCAGGGTGGTGATTCAGGGGCCAAATTCTAATGCCAGCTCCATTACTCAGTGTGTTTGAACCTCTCTTTCGTGCTTTACCCATTAATCAGAAGAATCCTCACTCCCAAAGGAAATAAATAAGGACAGCAGAATCACTGCTGCTAAATCAACTTGGCCATCCGTGGGTGTCTAGATTGAAAGCAAATCATAACCCTTATATTCAGTTATCAGGCACTGTTCAGTTAATGAATCAGGATCATAGTGTTAGTCTTAGCTCATGACAAAATCTACTGTGCTAAAACCGTAAGGCTAGAAACCCACAAAAATAGCTTACGGAGTGTGAGATATCATTAGATCAAAACCACATGAAAGTATTAGCTCTGTCCAGGTTCCTTAAGCCTGTCTCCATTAGCTTACAATTCTATGACTCTGATCATTCAGATTGATTTGCTAAATAGATTGCCTTCTCTAATCTTAACACTTCACTTTGCACAGGTAAGCACAGACCATTTGCAGAAAGTTTCTTTTCTTTGGCTTTCACTGTCTTTGATCTTTTAACTCTAAAAGATTTTGAGTAATATAGTCAATGTTTTATTATCTTGAAGTGTATTTGAACTATTCAAAATGCCACCATAAATCCATTTCTATTTCTCAAAATATTAGATTTTATACACTAAGTTGTTGATAAGGAGCTCTGGTAGTGTAGTGGTTATGAATTGGGCTGCGAACCTCAAGGTCAGCAGTTAGAAACTACCAGCTGTTCCGCAGGAGAAAGATGAGGCTGTCTGCTCCCATAAAGATTTATAGCCTCAGAAACCTTATACAGGGTCACTATGAGTTGAAACCAACTCCACAGCACACCACCACCACCACCAAATTGTTGATATTTGTAACACTAGAACCTGTGTTTAGTTGATAACATTTTGCTGTTTAATTTATTCTGATTTATAATAAATATTTGTAATTCATATGTAGCATTTATTTTTAGATTTTTAATATGAGCAAATAATACTTAAGGAGCCCTGGTGAGGCTCTGTGGGTTAATGTGGTAGACTGCAAGGTCTGTTGGAACCACAAGGTCGGTGGCTGAAGCGCACCAGCTGCTCTTCGGAAACCCTAGAAACGGTTGCTATGAGTCGGAATTGACTTGGCCGCATTTGTCAACAACAAAGTTTATCATAATAAGTATTTTAACTTAATGATTCATTTTGGTCTTTTCTATAGTAAAAGTGCAGGAGCTCTGGTAGCATAGTGGTTATGAATCGGGCTGCGAACCTTAAGGTCAGCGGTTCGAAACTACCAGCTGCTCCGCGGGAGAAAGATGAGGCTTTCTACTCCCGTAAAGATTTACACCCTCGGAAACCCTATACAGGGTCGCTATGGGTCGGAACCGACTCGATGGCACATAACCACATAGTAAAAGTGCACATTTATCAATTCATAAATCTATGTTATCTTTTGGGATTATTTAGAAAAAGAATTCCCTTGTGTATACTTTGGGGAAATATACATAATTAAGATTTTTTTTTTCTTTTGCAGGTTTTATTTACCACATGGCTTGAGTATAGATAAAGATGGAAATTATTGGGTTACAGACGTAGCTCTTCATCAGGTAAACTACCAATTTAGCAGTTATTTAAATAGAAGCTAACAGAGTTATGCTTTCAAAATGCTCTAATTTTCTATAGTGGGTCTTTTTCTGTGACTCAGTAAGTCTATAACCAGAAAATGTAAAAGTTACATCTGAAAGTTCTCTTTTAAAATTCAGTCTTAGAAAAAGGTAATGTGTAAAGTATCAAGCCATCTTGCTCCCTTTGGTTGGCAGGAGGCTTTGGATGCAGACATCAAGTTCATCTATGAAATGATACAGGCTTTCTCCAATTCCTCATTGGCTTTCTACGTCTACCTTTTTTATCCCTAGGACTCATTTCTATCTTCCATCTTATGTTTCATGACTTCACTTCTAAGCTACCTTATTCTATAAATTGAAAGAAATTCTTTAGTAAAATTAAGCTTGTATGTAAAAAAATAAAATTTTAAAACTTGTGAAAAGACACATATTTTGTCCTTTTTCAAATAAGTTATATTTTAATCACAGAATAGTCCTAAGGTGTTCCCCTTTCTCCTAATAAGCTTAAGTTTAATAACTTCTTTATGAGTAGGAGACAAATAACTAGTAAAAGACCTCAGAAGACATAATTGCAAGAATGATAATGTTCTCCCCATAATCTTAAAGCATCTTCAAACATCATGTCAGCAAATATTTATTGCTCATGAATTGGTTGTCTGAAGAACATTGTACTACTAGTTAAGAAAAGACAAAAGGAAGCATAGTGGGTAAGTAGAACAAGAACAGCCATGTATTTGTCACGATTTACCACTTGTTAACTGAGTGACTTAGAAAAATCAATATCTATAGATCTCATTTATCAAACAGAAGAATCAGATTGAATGATTTCTATGTTCCCATCCAGTTTGAAAAAGTATCTTCTATTAAATAAGTCTCTCAGAGCTTTTGACCATAAAAGTCATCTTTATTATATTGAATATTTGTCATTAATAGCATGCTCACTGGGTAAATTCTTTATTCCATTTTGACAAAGGTATTCAAACTAGATCCAAACAGTAAAGAAGGTCCTCTGTTAATCCTGGGGAGAAGCATGCAACCCGGTAGTGACCAGAATCACTTCTGTCAACCTACTGATGTTGCTGTGGATCCAGAAACAGGAACCATCTATGTATCAGATGGTTACTGCAACAATCGGATTGTGCAGTTTTCACCGACTGGAAAGTTCATCACACAATGGGGAGAAGGTACCCAAATAGACTCTTAATCTCTAATTGAAATGCTTAGCCAATATCAGTAGGAACGAGAGATTGACCATCTTTCACATTCTGTGGCATAAATTGTTCTTTGCCATGAGGAAAACAGGGTCTCTCTGTGCCCCTCAACACTCACACTCATATGCATGCAAGCCTTATAAGGAAAAAGGATACTTCTACCAAAATCTTTGTCCAAATAGAAAGAAAATCTATTGGTAAGAGATCTCATGGAATGAATTTAAAAACTAGTATACAATATGTTTTCTTCTTTTCCAAAAATTGAATGGCTCATTAAAATCGGAAATTACAAGACTATAGAATCAGACTTTGGGTGATTTTTAATGAGGTTTTTCTTTGTTCTATAGAGTCTTCAGGGAGCAATCCTAATCCAGGCCAGTTCAATGTTCCTCACAGCTTGGCACTTGTACCTCATTTGGACCAGTTATGTGTGGCAGACAGGGAAAATGGTCGCATCCAGTGTTTCAAAACTGACACCAAAGAATTTGTCAGAGAAATCAAGCATGCTTCATTTGGAAGAAATGTATTTGCAATTTCATACATACCAGGTATTTAATATTAATATGTGTGTATATGTTTTGTCATACTATAGCCTATTCTCATCTTCACATGATCCTTCTTGAATATTTTTTTAATTGGTGATGGTTATGTGCTGTGGATTCAATTCCAACTCATAGCAACCCTGTATAGGGTTTCCAAGGCTTTAAGTCTTTACATGAGCAGAAAGCCTCATCTTTCTTTCACGGAACAGCTGGTAGTTTCAAACTGCTGACCTATAGGTTAGCAGATCAACTTGTAACCACTACGCTAATTAAGGAGGTTAAAAATTAAATATTAGAAGGACAAAAAATCAGGAAAGATGATTGGAAGGAATCTGGTTAAAATCAGAATAAAAACAAAGGGCAAATATTAAATTTAGAATTCTCTCTGTAATGTTGTTGTTGTTAAGGGTCATTGAATCAGTTCTGACTCATAGTGAACCTGTGTAGATTTTCTAAGGAACAGCTGGTGAATTTGAACTGCTGACCTTGCATTTAGCAGTCCAGTGCTTATACTACAGTGCCATTATAGGACTCCTATAATATTGTTGTTGTGGTTGTTAAGTGCCGTTGAGTCAGTTTCGACTCATAGTGACCTTCTATAGGGTTTCCTAGAAGTGGCCAGTGGGTTTGAACCACTAACCTTGTGGCTCAAACTGACCTTGCAATCCCGCACATTATCCTGTCTTGGTGATAGAAACAATGCTAGAGATCGCATGTTAGAATTTTGAAAGACCAATTGCTTCTTTTGTTTTTTTTAATGTTTTATTGTGAATTATGTGATAGTTTACATGGGTGAACATTAGTTTTACATTCATCCTATCGTATATTGTTTCATTGCCATGGTTACAGTCCCCTTCATGCTTCATCAACCAACCAAAGGGTACACCCTGCAAGCCTGTCCTCTAGTCTTCAGCACACAGCCCTTCTCCCTCTCTGGGTCTAAAATCCCCAGCTGCACCATCTCTCCACAGCATTGTCTTTGCCTCCATCTCTGGTGTCACTGCTTCTCTGGGTAGGATCCTGCACTCTGCTCTTCTCTCTTGATGGTCCCAGGGACCTCCTCCCCTAGACTGCAAAGTCAGTCACTCCCCTCCTTGCTACAAAGGGTCTACCTTTACATTTCCAACACACAAAAGCAGTCCTGATAACAATTACTCACTATTGTATCACAAGAGACCTATCTGCATTTCCTTTCATCAGCCCTGCCTAGACAGATTAGTTTGTACTCAGTGGAGAGTCTACCTTCTTCCTCACCCTCTGGATCTAGGTTCCCTCTTGAAAGCTTGTAAGCCAGTCACTTCTTGCCTTTGTAACCCCCCACCCCCCACTTTGGGTAGCCAATGTCCAAGTTGCCCATCCCTGTCTACTCTGTGTACGGAGGGGATGGGAATGATCCTCACTGTAAAAATGTGTTCCCTCTTTTGAGCTACTACATCCATAGACATAGGTCAAGTTCATCAAATTGTATCAGATTACTCTTTTTTTTCCTCTTCTTTCTTCTTCTAGTTGAGCTCTGATCATCCAGTCATTGAAGCAAGGTCAAGTAGGTATTATCTGCAAGTGTGGGTGTTCTTGTGCATAATGTCCTCTCTTCTTATCAGCTGGATGCTTCACTCTCCACTCTAGTTCTCTGTGGCTATGTTATTGACTCTGGGCCCAAGAGTCCCCAGGTCTTGCCACACTGCTGGCCAACCTGGTCTCCACCCGGGTTCACAGGAGTCTATTGAATGTTTTAGGGCTTAGCTCACAGTTTCACTGCTGTTTTTCCCTCACTTCCCCTTATCAGTGTCAAGCGTAGTCACCAATAAGAGCATGTATTCCCACTGAGTCTTAGTCTTGGAAGGGAGTTTTCTCTGAGGGAACCCAACCACATGCCTTGATGTCTCCTGGGTGAGCAACTTTCTTGTTCTTGTAGTAATCAGTAGGTTTACCTATATTGTTTTGTATTTTTCCTGTTGATCTTTCTTCAAGAAGTATCTTCTGTTCTTCTAGCCACCCCAGGCTGGTCTGCCTGTCTTTTCAAGTGGAAATTTCCCACCTCTGAAGATTCTGGATGCTGTTCAGGATTCCACCTATGGCCTTATGTAATGCAGAGGCTCTGCAGGAAGCCTCCTTCACTGGTCACGTTGTAGCCCCATTTTACATATTCCAATCAGTTATAGGCAGAAGACGCCAATTACTTCTTCATTGCAAGTACCTTTTTTAAACAACATATAAGATGACTATACACATGGACCTTATAGATGGAATATGCAAAAAGCAATTTGACTACATCTGTGAAAAGAGACAATAGAAAAGCTCCATATTATCAGCCAAAATAAGGCCAAGGGCCTACTGTGGAACAGACATTAATTGCTCAAATTCAAGTTCAGGCTGAAGCTGAGAAAAATGAAAACAAGTCCAAAAGAGCCAAAATATGACCTTGAACATATCCCATCAGAATTTAGATAACATCTTAAGAAAAATTTGATGCATTAAACACTAATGACCAAACACCAGCAGAGTTGTGGAATGACATCGAAAGCATTATACAGGAAGAAAGCAAAAGGTCATTAAGAAAACAAGAAAGAAGGAAAAGACCAAATAGATGTTGGAAGAGACTCATAGAGATGCTGAAGCAAACTGAAGAAATGAGGAGACATAAATGCTGAACAGAAAATTTCAAAGGGCAGCTTGAGAAGACAGAGTCAAATATTATAAGGAAATGTGCAAAGACCTGGAGTTAGAAAACCAAAAGGGAAGAACACACTCAGCACTTTTCAAGATGAGGGATCTGAAGGAAAAAGTCAAGCTTCAGCTTGAAATATTGAAGGATTCTGTGGACAAACTATTGAATAATGCAAAATGTATCAAAAGAAGATGGAAGGAATATACAGAGTCACTGTACCAAAAAGACATGGTTGATTGTCAACCATTTTAAGAGGTAGCATATAATCAAGAGCCAATGGTATTGAAGTAAGAAGTTCAAGCTGCATTGAAGGCATTGGTAAAAAGGCTCTGGGAATTGTTGGAATACAAATGGATAACTTTTAACAAACTGATACAGCACTGGAGAACTCACTCATCTGTACTAAGAAATTTAGAAGACAGCTACCTGGCAAACTGTTTAGAAGCAATCCATGTTGTAGCCATTCCAGATAGGTAACCCGTGGACTGCCGAATTCATCAGACAATAATTGATACCACATACAAGTAAAATTTTGCAAAAGATACAAAATTCAAAAATGGCTATCTCAGTACATTGACAGGAACTGTCAGAAGTTCAAGCCAGACTCTGAAGAGAACATAGATTGAGAAATATCATTTCTGATGACAGATGGATCTTGTCTGAAGGCAGAGACTACCAGAAAGATGTTTACTTGTGCTTTATTAACTACACAAATGCTTTTGACTGTGTGGAGCATCACAAGTTATGGACAACATCCTGGAGAATGAGTATTTCAGAACATTAATTTGTGCTTATGAAGAACCTGTACATAGACAAAGAGGCAGCCATTCAAACAGAACAAAAGGACACTAAATTGTTTAAAATCAGAAAAGTGTGTGCCAGTGTTGTATTTTCTCACCATACTTATTTAATTTATATGCTGGACAATAATTTGATAAGATAGATTAAGTGAAGAACATGGCATCAGGATTGGAGGAAGACTGATAGACAACCTGTGATATGCATGCAGTATAACCTTCTTTGTTGAAAATGACAAGGATTTAAAATACTTACTGATGAAGATCAAATACCACAGCACTGGATATGGGTTGCACCTCAATTTAAAAAAACAAAAACCCTCACCACTGAACCAATAAATAACCTCATGATAAATAGAGAAAATACTAAAGTTGTCAACGAATTCATTTTGTTTGGATTCACTATCAGCACTCATGGAAGCAGCAGTCAAGAAATCAAATGACGTATTGCATTAGGCAAATTTGTTGCACAAGACGTCTTTAAAGTTTTGAAGAGCAAAGATGTCAGTTTGAGGACTAAGGTGTGCCTGACCCAACCCATGATATTTTCAATAGCGTCATATCCATGTGAAAGTTGGACAGTGAATAAGAAAGGCCACAGAAGAATTGATGTATTTAAAGTATGGTATTGAAGAAGAATATTAAAAGTACCATCGACTGCCAGAAGAACATATAAATCTGTGTTGGCAGAATGCTCCTTAGAAGTCAAGATGGCCAGACTTTGTCTCTCATACTTCGGACATCTCTTCAGGAGAGACCCATCCCTATGGAAGGATATCATGCTTGGTAGAGTGGAGGGTCAACAAAACAAAAGGAGACTCTCTCCCTCCACCCCCAGTGAGATGGGTTGGCACAGTGGCAGCAGCAGTGGGCTCAAGCCGAGTAATAATTGTGAGGTTGGCACAGATTCAGGCAGTGTTTCCTTCTGTAGTGTGTAAAGTCACTATGAGTCACAATTGACTGAACAGCACCTAACAACAACAACAATCTATTTCTATCTATGTGAGCACGGTTACTCTGTAGCATAAGCACTGGTCTAGGAACCACTGGATTGGGGGTTTGAGCTTACCAGCTGCTCTGTGGGAGGAAAAAATGAGGCTTTTCTGCTATAGCAAAGATTTACAGCCTCAAAAACCCTATACAGGTTCGCTATGAATTGGAACCAAGTGGACAACACTACAGCAACCACAACATATCTGTCTGTATATTCCTGAATTTTACTGAATTCCAAAGTGACAGGCCAGTTCCTGGATTTCCTATTACAAGGAGTTCAGTCTTCTAAAATCTTTGCCCCTGATGTAGTCACTTAGAAGGAGACATTTGTGAAGTATTTTATTCTCTATCTTTGCTGTTAAAGTTGACACTACAGCTAGTGATTGCACATATGTTTGATCATACATACATTTGAAAGCCAGTCTTGTCTATATTTTAAAGGAAGCTTAATTGGATATGTTATTACAGGTTTACTCTTTGCGGTGAATGGGAAACCTAATTTGGGGGACCAAGAGCCTGTACAAGAATTTGTGATGAACTTCTCCAGTGGGGAAATTATAGACACCTTCAAGCCAGTACGCAAGGTATTATAAGCATTGCCTAGGTTTCAATTTGTATGAGAATATTACAGAAATATGAATTAATATTAACATTCAGTTAAAAAATGTAAGAATCTATGATAACTTTCTTTGCCAGACGGATGGGAGTGTCCTATTATGTTTTTCTCTAGAATAAATGCCTTTGTTTGTTTCTAAAGCCGTATCCCCAGATGCAAATTAACACTGTGTACAATTCTAAGGTTCTTAGTAGAAATTGCATACTATTACAGGTATAAATTAAGTGGAGTTAAAAATACCTTTTAAAAATATGTCTTTTCCTGGTTTTATTCAAATAGGATAGACAGCACATTAGTTTAGATAGTATTTATATAGTTTTCTCAGATACAACAGATAACTTGTTTGGTTTTTTTTTATTGCTATGATGATACTGAGCAGCAAAACTTGAAAATAGCATTTCATGGAATTTATGCAAGTCCTAAACACTTGTTTTAAGGAGCCCTGATAACTTAGTGTATTTTATGATGTGCTGCTAACCATAAGATCAGCAGTTGGAATCCACCAGCTGCTCGGTGGGGAAAAGATGAGATTTTATACTCCATACATAAAGATTTGCAGCCTCAGAAACCCTATACAAGGATGCTATCAATGGGAACTAACTCGACAGCACATAACAGCAGCAGCAGCAGCAAACACTTGATTTATGTAAAAGACTAAAGACTAGTTTTGACTTAACAAATGGTTTGTTGTTTTCAAATAACCATCAAGTCAATTCTGATTCATAGTGAACCCTATGTATGGTGGGTTTGAACCACCAATCTTGCAGTTAGCAGCAGTCCAGTACTTATCCTACAGTGTCACACAGGACTTCAAATGGTTTAACATAGTTTCTTCTAACAATGTTTTTTACAAATACAGTGACTAAGGATCAATGTGACTCTTCTGTCTTCTCAGTTTACATTCTTTGTCATATGATTGACACAGTCATCAGAATAGTCACATACATTGCATCAACATGCTTGTGGTACATTGGTTTTCAAATTCTACTTGCTAAAATGCTGTATATAGAGTTTGTATTTCAAAATAAATAAAGATTTATTGGCTTTACTTGAATCAGAATGCAACTATCACAAGCCACTGGACAAAGTATCTCTTGGTTTAGATGAATCTTTAAGATAGCATGTTTGCTAGACTAAAAGCAAGCTTTTAAAATGCCTTAATCTTCTAGAAATTAGTTTGTTAAAAATACTGACAAATAGTCTGAGGTTTATCATCAAATTATATCTCAGAGGTAGAGCTCTGGTAGCGTAGTACTTACGAATTGGGCTGCTAACCTCAGGGTCAGCAGTTTGAAACTACCAGCTGCTCCTCAGGAGAAAGATGAGGCTTTCTGCACCCGTAAAGATTTACAGCCTGGGAAACCCTGTACAGGGTCTCTATGAGTCGGAACCAACTCCACGGCACATAACAACAACAACAACTTTGTGTCCCTGTATAGGGTTTCCAAGGAGTGACTGGTGGGTTTGAACCACCAATTTTTGGTTAACAGTCAAGTGCTTACCCTAGAGCACCACACCAGGATTCCCTTATGCTAGGTACAGCTATAATAATAGCAAACAGAACAAGATACACACTTTCCCTAGACAGAGCTTTTTAGTTAACTACAAAAGTTACAGAATGTGAATTGACTCAAACTGAATCTGAACTACAGTTTTTAGTACGAATTTATTTTTGGGGCTTTCTAACCTTATATAAAAGAGCTCTGGTAACGTAGTGGTTACAAATCGGGCTGCTAACCTCAAGGTAGGCAGTTCGAAACTACCAGCAGTTCTGTGGGAGAAAGATGAGGCATTCTGCTCCCGTGAAGAATTACAGCCTCAGAAACCATGTGCAGGGTCACTATGAGTAGGAACCGACTCCACAGTATTTAACAACAACATTCATAGAATGTTCTCACCGGAAAATGTGAAATCAAATATAAAATCATACTAGCCCTTAAGAAAGAAAGCCCATATTGAAAAGATATATTTTATTTCCATAGTGTTTGAGTTCCATATTAATTATATGATCATCATTGTTCCAATTTCCCCATATCTATTGATAAATAAAGTAAGATACTTACCTTTAAGGTTTTCACTTTTTCTCAGTTGAGTTGGTTCCTTTAATGATATAAACTATATAAACCAGTATATTAACTTTTTTTTAAGTTTTTATTGTGAATTGATAGTTTACATGGGAGAACATCAGTTTTACACTCATCATATTTAGTTTCATTGCAATGATTACAATTCCCTCCATGCATCATTATTCAGCAGTATTTGCTTCTATTTCCTCTGGTGTTTGTTTTCTGTGTACACAAAAACATTCAGAAATATATAATCATTTAAACAACAAACCTAAGGGCACATTCTGCAAGCCTGCCTCCTGGTTGCTAGCACACGGCCTTTCTCTTTCCATGAGTCTAGAGTCCTCGTCTCTACCTACAACTCAGTGTTGCTGCTTCTCTGGATAGGGTCCCACATTCTGCTTGTGCTCTTCTCCTTAAATGGCCCTAAGGTCCTCTGTTCCTGAACTATAAGATTAATTTCTCCCTATATATAGTTCGGGTGTTGGGGACGGTAGTACACAAGAAGGGGTGGGAGGGTGGAAGAACAAGGTAGATTGGGGAACACTGAGGCAGGTTTGTATGGGCAAAATGGTACTGAGGTAAATAGTGATGTGTGCTTAACCTTGGAACAACACGGCTCTGTAATACAGGAATTGAGTCATAGTCTGAAGAGGGGAAATAAAGCTGTCTTATAAATATTAATTTCCCTTGCCTACTATTATAACATAGACAACTGAGTGGGATAGAAAGGAATGTTGGGAAGCATGATTACAGAAAGCTTGTAAGCCTGTCTTCAGCCTATAACTGATTGGAATAAACTAAAATGGGTTCTAGAACTTGCCCAGTGAAATAGGCTTCTTGCACAGCCTTTGCAGTGTATAGGACCTTAGGTGGAATCCTGAGTCCCATCCAGAACCTTCTGAGATGAAATTTTCCCACTAAAGGCACAAACAGACCAGACTAGAACAGCTAGAGCAACAGAAGATACTTCTTAATAGAAAGATGAGCAGAAAAAGCCAAAACAAAAATGACAATCTGATTGGCTACTACAAGAACAAGCACGTTGTTTGCCAGGGAGCCATCAAGGCAAGCAATCAAGTCCCTTCAGGAGAAACCCCCCTTCAACACTGAAACTCAAAGGGAACACATGAGCAGGCATGTAACCTTGCTGGTGACCATGTTGTTCTGCGGTGAGTGAAAGAGAGGGAAAGGCAGCAATGAAGAAATGGGCTGAGTTCAGCCACATTCAATAGTCCCCCGTTGACCTGGAGATGATAAGAGTCCTAGTAAAGGAAGGGCTGATTGGTCCGAAGTGTGGTGAGACCTGGGAACTTCTGAGCCTATGGACAAGGACATAGCCACGGGGTGCTAGAACTGAGAGTGAAGCATCCAGCTGATATGAAGTGAGGCGATTCCCACAAGAATGACCAAACTTGCAGATAGTACCCATATCACTTAGCTTCGATGGCTTGATATTTAGAACTCGACTAGAGGAAGATAAAATAAAAAATTTTTAGATAAAGGAAACAAGTGTTAATTGCTACAATTTGATGAACTTGACTTGTACTTATGGATGTAGTAGCTCAAAATACCAACTGAGAATGAAGGAGTCTTCACATCAAATATCAATCCTATCCCTTCTCTATACAGAGTAGATAGGGACAGGTAACTTAGACATTGACTACCTAAAATGAAGGGGTGATAAAAGCACAAAGTGACTAGCATAGAAGTTTTCAAGAGAGAGTTTAGTTTTAAGAGTGTTCAGGGGAAGGTAGAGACCCCACTGAATAGTTTTCATCTTGTCTGGTTGGGACTGGTGGAAAGAGATGGGGATAAGAATTTTATGAATCAGTTGTGAATAATTGTTATCATAACTAACTACGACTGTCACAACTGTAAAGGTAGAAGTTTTGTAACAAAATGAGAGTAGTTAATCTTACAGTACAGAAACAGAGGACCCTAGGACCATCAAGGGATAAGAGCATAAGTGGAATGTGGGACCGTATCCAGAGAAGCAGCAACACCAGGGATGGAGGCAGAGATGAGGACATGGAGAGAGGGAGCAGCTGAGGATTCTAGACTCATGGAAAGAGGAAGACTGACTGCTGGCGGCCAGGAGGCAGGCTTGCAGAATGTGCCCTATGCTTGTTTAAATCATATATTCCTGAGTGTTCTTGTGTACATACCCACCCACCCACCCCATCCTCCCCCCAAAAACACCCAAAAGGCATAGAAGCAAATACTGTTCAATGATGATACACAGAGGAGATTGAAATAATTGCAATGAAACAATGGAGTAAAACACATGTTCTCCCATGTAAAGTACCACTCAATTCACAATAAAAACTTAAAAGAAAAAAAAAGGTGAACTACTCCTCCCTTTATGTTACACAACTTCTACCTTTATAGTAGTTGACAATCACAATTAGTCATGATAACAATTAATCACTGTTAAATCCTAAGAATCTTATCCCCATCTCCTTTCACCAGACCCATCTAGACAAGATGAAAACTCTTCTACCTTCCCCCGCACACTCTGAAACTAAACTCCCTCTTGAAAACTTGTAAGCTAATCACTTCATGCCTTTATTGCCCCCTATGAGGCTTTCTGCTCTCGTAAAGATTTACAGCCTTGGAAACCTTGTACAGGGTCGCTATGAGTCGAAACCGACTCCACGGCATATAACCACCACCACCACAATATATTAACTTTTAATTAAAATATTAATATAAAAATAACAGCAAATTACTAAGCAAGACACTCAGATCTAAATAAATCTGACATGTGAACAGCTCTGAATTAAAACTAAAGAAAGCAGTGTACCTAAATATCAGTATTCCTTAGACCTTTAGCAATGTCACACTATATGGGTTAATACAGCAAACTTGGAAAAATAAAAATAAAAAACCTAACTAACTCAAAAACAAAATTTACTTTACCTTTAAGCAAAGAAGACTTGACATTACACCAACATAGAAATTTATGCTGTGTTGACTAAGTAAACCAAAAATCAGTGTATAAATCTCACAGAATTTCCATTTAATTATATTTCATCATAAAGTTTACATTTGGGTGTAGAAAATAAGTATTAACTTCTAATCTGAGACTTGTGTTTCAAGTCCATAGTAAAGATTTACATAATGTGTGCTGTTTTGTGCCTGTATACTACATATTTACTTGTATCTTTCAGTTCTCTTTTCTACTGTTAATTTTATTTTAGAAATATATATGTCTGAATTTACAGTCTTCAACTTTATGTATGTTCAGGGAAGCTGAGGATAGTAAGGACAACAACGAAGATGGTTCTTATTAAATAGTGTCAAAAAACTGTGCACAAAAAATACATAGTCACCCTCCACCCATCCCCATCATCAAAGTAAAGTCTAATGGTACTTCATAGTGACATTTTAAAAATCTTTCTTCTTCAAGGAAGCTCATGTAGAAAAGCAAGGCAATGATCCCCATCCCCAACAAACAAAAGCACATACACAGAGAAAGAATAGCACACCCAGATTAATTTCATTTCACTAACTTTCAAAATGGAAATTAAAAGTGCAATACTTGATATGAAAAGTTTATGTAGGTTAACTGATTTGTCCAAAGCTACAGAGTAAGTAGCTCATATAGATCTCAGACTCATGTCTATCTAATTCCAAAATGAGCTCACTACTTAGCAGTCTATACTTTGGGTGCTTATAGTCTCATTTGATAAATGACGTTGGATTATACCAGAGTCTTTTAATTCCTTGAATATTCATTAGTATGCTAGGAGGTATATGAAGTCACAACATAAACATGGTATAATTTCCTAGAAGAACTGCAGTGCAGTGAATTATTTAATGGCTCTTCTAGCCATTTTAAACGCACACCAAATGACCTTTTCCTGATGGATCTGGGTATGAGAATACAGGGGTAGATGTTGATGGATTATATGATTTGTTGTGAGTGATTGTTGACAGGGCTAAATGTGATTGGTCAGTTTTAACATCTTGATGATTACAAATTGAGCTATCTCAGAAGCAGAAGGGGATCTCACTGTCGTCAAGGAGGAAGAGTAAGGAGTGAAGCATGTCCTTTGTACTTCAAGATCCCTGTGCATTGAACCTCCTTAATGGAGGGACAGAAAGCTATGACACTGAAGGGTAGTAAAGGAGTGATAGAGGATCAGTAGCTGAAATATCAAGAACAAGACAGAGCAGTAGACTTCCTCACCTGTGGAGCAAGTAAAGCTGAGTGCCTTTGGGCAGGAAGCTTGTTTGCAGAGTGGGGTGCCTCCCGGCACTTAATAGTTTTTTGGTGATCCACAGAACTAGAACTAAGTGCCTTTGGTCTGAGACTTACTGTGGAGAAGAGAGCCCTTTGGGCAATTATCAGCAGCCCTAAAAGTGCTTGTAACATTGCCTGAATGATACCTAGGCTAAGCCTAAGGGCTAGGGAGGGACCTGCCTAAAGACACAGCAGAGAAGATGCTGTCCTTACCAAACACCTGTATCCTGAGAATTTTCTGCTCCTGTTTCGTAACTGATTAACTTCCCTAATTAGTCCTATAACTGTGAATATAGTGTCTGAGTTCTGTATGGCCACCACAATGAATAATTGAACCTAGCTGAATAGAGTGCTGTGGAAGAGATGGCTGATGTCCTTTTTAGCAAGAACCATTATACTTAGTATTTAAGCAAGCTTAAGCATTATTTTTGTAATAAAGCAAACCAGATATAATATGGAAAAGATAAAAAGTTTCTCATGAATATTTAAAATAAAATACAAGATATTAAGATAAAGCCTCCTGTGCTATATCATTGGATGCCACAGGACGATGCTATCATTCTAATCTGTTGTCACTTTCATTTGGTTAGAGGTACCTCAGGAGAATAATTTGCAGAGACTAAATTGTTGTTGTTATTATTAGGTGCAATCAAGTTGGTACCAACTCATAGTGACCCTATGCACACAGAACAAACAATGCCCGGTTCTGGGCCAACCTCACAATTGTTGCCACGCTTGAGCCCCTTGATGCTGCCATTTTTCCAGTCCATCTCACTCGGGGTCTTCTTCTTTTTCTCTGACCCTCCACCTTACCAAACATGATATCCTTCTCCAGCGAATGGTCCTTGCTGACAATGTGTCCAAAGTATGAGAGACGAAGTCTGGCCATTCTGGCCTTCAAGGAGCACTCTGGCTGTAGTTCCTCCAACACAGATCTGTTGGTTCTTTTGGCAGTCCATAGTACTTTCAATATTCTCCTCCAACACCATAACTCAAATGCATTAATTCTTCTATGGTCTTCCTTATTCACTGTCCGGCTTTCACATGCATATGAGGTTATTGAAAATACCATGACTTGGGTCAGTATATGTAAGTCTCTTCAACTCTGAAATTCTAAAACAACCACATAATTTGTTTGTATTTCAAATGATTCAGAACAGTGGAATACTTCATTAAAACATTACAGCTAAGTGTTTCTGACTACAGCAGAATTGGAGGTCTAGAAGTCTCACCCACTAAGCCTTCCTGAGAATCCTTACGATGGCCCCAACATGTTTTCAAAGAGCCTTTGGTACTGTGGATCAGATTGAGAACCACTGATGCAGATTTATTTTAACCATGAATTTATTACATATTGTTGTGATTTATTTAAAGTCAAATCCTTGGCTTGTCTACACATCCCCTCTTCTCCTCTATCCCCCCCATTATTATAGTATTTTTCCTATCAGGAAATATGAAACATCTTATAACCATATGTTTTGCAAAGCAGTTTCTTAGATCATGTTTTTGCATAGATCCGTTGTTGTTGTTGTTGTTAAGTGCCGTCGAGTCGGTTCCGACCCATAGCGACCCTGTACAGGGTTTCCTAGGGTGTAAATCCTTACGGGAGTAGAAAGCCTCATCTTTCTCCCGCAGAGCGGCTGGTAGTTTCGAACCACTGACCTTAAGGTCCGCAGCCCGATTCGTAACCACTACGCTACCAGAGTGTTGCCACCCATTAGCTGAACCTAAAATAAACATGAACATTTAACAACAGGCTTGTGAGATTTCAACAAGGCAACATTTTGATTTCTGGCTCTCTGTCTTTCTCTTGCACATTTGTCACAGCTCATTGGATGCTATGAAGAAATGAGCCTCCTTAGGATCTCTGTCATTTTTCTTTTAAACTTGACAAACTTACTGTTTTTGAAAGCACTAGTAGTATTTCCAAAGCATGTGTTCTTGTGCCCCTCCTAAAGTGAGTTTAAAAGGGTCATTTGTCTGATTGGTGCCCTTTGTACTCAGCAAACAGAGGTTTGCAGATGTTAGCTGAGAAGCCCATACTCACTAGTCATGTTTTTGAGAACTATGCATTCAGGCAGCCCTGCTAGTCTCAAAGGAAAAACAAATTATCTATATCCTGCCAACTGAAGGACACATGGCTTCTTTGCAGGCTTTAGTAAACAGTTGGAAATGTCAGAAACATGTTTTAGTCTGTTCTTCCAGGAACTGACTGGGTGACCTTGAGAAAGTCACATAAAATGCTCTCTCTTGCCTCCTGTGTCCTCATGTTTGAGAAGACAATGACTTGGAATAGAGACATGTCATGAGGAAGGACATATTAAAACACTGAGTATCTGAAGTAGGTACAAATCTCAGTAAGTACTTAAGGGCAACACTCAATTTATGTTATTTGCTGACTGAAAATACTGTAAACATTGGACTTAAGTGTATAAAAACCACATGGGTACAATAGGATAAGCACTGGACTGCAAACCCAGCTGTTGGAGAACCCTGTGGGTTGTTTTGAGTCAGAACTGACTTCACAGAGCTTAACAACAACAACGTCTACTGAAAAATAACTCAAATGCCCTGCATCTGAATTATTTTTCTTAGTAACTTACAGATAAATTTTTAAGGATAGGATTGCTTGATGGAGAATAGTTTTATAAATTAATTTCAGGTTCATTTGACTTATATAGAGCAAAATGGGCAAATTTGATATGCATTAAAAATAGAATAAACATGAAGGCAAAAGAAATATAAGTAGGTAAATAACATAGTATTAAATAAACAAAACTGATTAATAACTTACTTGTAAATGTTTGCTTGTTACTATATTAAAAATTAGTGGTTAGGGCCATTTAGCACTTTTCAGTTCCTAGAATTATACCTGACACAGATTTTGTGATGTGACTGAATAAACCCTTAGGCCTAGAATTGCTGTGATGGGAATTATTGTGCTTTAGATTTCAGTGATGTGCCTGTTACTTTGTTGTGTTCTTTGTTTTTCTACTGTTTTATGAAGGATTCAAGGGTAGCTTACCACCCTAATGTTTGGCTTACTATTTTGGCAGCACTTTGATATGCCTCATGACATTGTTGCATCTGAAGATGGGACAGTATACATTGGCGATGCTCACACCAACACCGTGTGGAAGTTCACCTCTACTGAAAGTATGTATTTAACTTTTTTATTGTTTACACTTTCTCCCATTTTGATGCTTAAAAACAACAGCAACAAAATCATTTGCATTTCTTTTTTTTATTGATAGAAATGGGAAAACAGGTATGGATAGGAAATTATTGAAAGAACTTCTTGGTATTCAGCTCAAGGATTAAATTAAATCTCTTCTTTTTGTAGTGGGTAGCTCCATCTTTTCTTTTCTTTTTCTTCTTCTGGCAGTTGTCCTCTTGTTTCCACAGATATTCCACAGGAAATTCTTGATGCCTTAAGTAATGTCTGTTACATAAAAGCCAATGTTAAATCCGACTTAGCTCCAGAGGGAGGAGATGGCTTTGGCAAGGCACAGGGGCTGACATGTTTCCACACAGGCATCACTTCCCATATTGCTCTTCAGCTTTCAGTAGCTGCTGAGCATCTAGGGATGCCAGCATCTGTCAGACACATATTATCCCAGACAGGAAGCACTTTGTACCTTCCATTTAGATTTCAGCTTTCCCAAAATACTGAACTGCTATATTTTCATCTAACTCCAAAGTTTGTCTAGAGACAGGAACTTTATTAGAATTAAGCCAGCTAATTTTAGGGGTTTCTAGTTATAGGATCGATATGAGTCGGAACTGACACAATGGCACATAACAGCAACAACAGTTGCTATTTGGACAGTATTTCTAATTATCGTACTAACTTAGATCCTATTATGACATATGTGGGTACTAACTGAAAGATTGGAAGTTTCAAGTCTATACAAAGATACCTCAGAAGAGAGGTCTAGTGTTCTACTTCCAAAGAAATCAGTCATTGAAAATCGTATGGAGTACAGTTCTATTCTGACACAGAGGGTTGCCATGAGTCTAAATTGACTCCATAGCAACTGGCTTTTCATCATACCAAAAAACACAAGTTATCTAAATTAAAGAACACTGAAAGCTTACTAGGCCATAAACCATAAGGTCTAAATGTGTTTTTATGATATGTCAGGCTCCAAGCAATAGAAAGAAGTCTTGAAACCCAAATAAATTTGCTAACCACAGTCTTCAGAATCATTCTCTGAGTAATTTTCACTGCTTTGTAACAAAGGCCATGTTTGCTTGAGTACAGAGAGGTGTTCATGGTCTATTCCAGCCAATAAACAGATACCTGAAAAGCATGATGAGACTTAATAAATCTATTCAATATCCTGCTTTTAAAAGATAGAAATATGATCCTTGAATTCAATCTAGAGCTCTTTATATCATTCCAATGGTTAATACTGAAGAAAGATGTACATCTGAGTCACCTGGTAAGGATTTTCAAAATATGCATCATCAGACCCCACAAAGGACCTATATAAAGAAGTTGTTGTTAAGTGCCATCGAGTCTGTTCTGATTCATAGCAACCCTGTATAGGGTTTCCAAAGAGCAGCTGCTGGGTTTGAACCACTGACTTTGCAGTTAGCAGTCTAATGCTTATCCTAAAGCACCATACCAGGACTCCATATAAAGAAGAGGGGTAGTAATATGAATATTTTGGAAAGACTACCCAAGTGCTTTGGAAACATCCCTTGACTGAAAAACAATGTATATAGTGTGTAGCTTCAGTCTAGACTGCAATCAAGTAATCTGGAAAATAGTACCTGTGAATCACGGAGGTTGCTATAAGAAACTAAACAAGTGACTCATATATTAAGTCAAATCATTTTCTACTGGTGAGACGACTGAGAATCCAACATGGCAGAACTACTACTCAGCCTTAGATATTGCCTATATGAAAACTGTTTGATACTTTATAAGGAACACAGTTATTATGAACTCCAGAGGAGAAACTCATTCTAAAAATATTATATCACGTTTCCTTGTTGTTGTTAGGTGCCATCAAGTCGGTACTATTTTCCAGTTTATTTGATTATCAGATTCAGAATGGTTTCAGCTCACAAATGCAGAATAATGCACTGGGCTGCAAGGTCAATTTAAACCACCAGGTCGGTTGTTCAAACCTTGGAAACCCTAGACATGGTCACAAAGAATTGGAACCAACTTGATGACACTTAACAACAGCTTCATTTTTGATAAATTCCATACTTTGTACTTTCCACATTCTGCTTATCGGTGGATATTTGCAGCTGTTTCTTCTCATTTTGAGTTGTGCCCTATCAGTAAACGAAGGTCCCAAAAGCTTTGCTCCGTTCATGTCATTATGGTCAACTTTTCTTTTAAGAGGCAGCTCTTCAAGAACAAACAAGATGGTGGATCGGGTGGACGTATAGCAGAGAGCTTCGCCAACAACAACACAGAATACCTGACCAAGCATGTTCAGGGGCTGGTCCCAGAACTCTGAACCGCATATAAAGGAATACTTAGA